TGGGGGATCTCCTCTGCTCCTCAGCTTCTTCCTTCTCTCCATTCCCCACCCTGCTTTAGTCTTCATTTACTTTACTCAGAGCCCCAATTGTTCCCCTTGCCTCCAGTCTGATCCATTCTAATCTTCCTGAGCAGACCAGTTTCTAAAACACAAAACTGTTGTCTACTCTAACTCAAATCTCTTCAATGTCACTGCTTTATGTTGAAGAGTCAAGTCTGATACAAAAAGTGCTTGCTTCCTGCTCTTGCCAGTTCATTATCCTATTCCAAACCCGCCACAATAGGTGGTTTCTTTCTTCCACATGGACATTTTACCAAGCCACATTGAGCTGTCTACCATTTTCTGTCCCCTGATTATTTCACTCCTGGAATTTCCTCCCCTTTCCAATGACAATTTGAATCACCAACCTTAACCTAGCTACTTTTAAGATAGCCTTCAAAGCCCACCTCACGCATCATTTCTTCTTCCTCCTTGCCCTTTCTCAATCACGTGCATACAGACACAAGCATTCTTATCCTACACCTTATCACTACTGATTTGTACCCACAAAATCCCCTCCTCTAAAAACTGTTCAGCTCAGAGATACTCCATGTGAACTTCATAGTAACATCACAGGGAGCAATTTCTCAGACCCCTCTGAAGACCTAACAAACTAGAATTTCTAGGTTGGGGTCTGGTCTTTTGATTCTTCTATGTGCTATCAGTACAGCAGCAATGCACTGAACTTGCCACCATCACACACACTGCCACATCTTGTTGGTTTCTCACTCCCTGGTCAGCACCTTTGACTGTCTGGGATGAGGAAAAGGATCAATAAAAGATCAATGAATGAATGAATGGTGAGTTAATCCTCTAAATGATTCATTAAATCTTTCTCTTCTTCGAAGCTAAATTATGCAGGAAACACTATAAATATTCTTTGGTCCACTAGCACCTACACATATTCTTAGAATTGGAATTTGCCTTTAAGAGTTGAGATCTATGACAATTTTTAATTTTGAACTGGTTAAGGATCAGTGTATTATGCCAACATTATAATAAGGGATACTAAAATAAAGTGAAGTTAGAGCTGTTCAAGACAAACACAAAAACAAGAATTCCGTAGTATGCACAGAATGTCTCTAAAGTACATTTTCATCTATTCTACAGTATAGCAGAAGGTGGTGCCCTCTGCTTCAAGTTTTAAAAGATTATGTGAGGTACCTTAAATAATCAATATCTTTCTTTTTACTACTTTTTGCACATAGTAGTTTAGGAAGGAAAATGAAAATTGGAAAACCCCAAGAATGCTATGTATCAAAATATTATCTCAGACCTTTTTAGTTCCTTCATCAGTGTTCATGCTACATGTTGCTCAGATATATTCCAGACCTTCATGTTAAAATTAATAAGGCCACTGATATGACTTTAAAAAAAATCACTTTTCTAAATATGAATTCACTCCTTTAAAACAACTGATAAAACAAATGATGTAAACGAGATAAACTCTTAAATATAAAACTGTCCAACCAAAGTAATAAAAAGTACATCTTAATTTTTGAGGCAATATTCTGGACTGTTGTCACATCAAGTGGAAAACAACATCATCCTAATAGTAACTTTTAACATACCTGCTCTGGTCACTACCAGCAGCTTGCAGAGAAATATATAACACACATTTAACTGCTGACATGTAACTATGTAGCTATGTCCTATATACAGACCTGTTTAAAAGTTCAGATTTGACAAAGCAAAGAGCAAACTCTTTTTAACCATCTTGAGGTTAGAGACTTTAGATGGCAGAGTATAGATTAGCATCTACTAGTAAAAATATGTCCACTGGACATTTAAGTAGAACGGCAAATAGAAAGGACTGGGGATATAGCTCAGTTGGTCCAGTGCTTGCCTTGCCTCGCATGCATAAGGCTTTGGGGGGAGGGGGAGATAGAGATAGATAGATAGATAGATAGATAGATAGATAGATAGATAGATAGATAGATAATCTGAGAGAAAGGCAGGCAAATAGAAAAAAAAAATCATTATAAGGCATTCAGAGCCTGCATAAATAGGAATTATATCCTGCACATCACACTCCACTCCCCAAAGAAGTTTAGAAAAGGCTACCAAGGGGAGATACCCATGCTGGGAAAATGTACCCATTCTTTAAAGACTAATTTGTAGCTGCTGGTGTCTTACATAACTTGACATATAATCAATGGTAGTTGATTCATCTCTTCAGAGATTCATCTCTTCACAGTTATTTCCATCTTGCCTACCTGGCAACATCTTGGTTGAGAAACTTTACCAGTGCTATCATTAGTTATGGAAATCATGAACAACAGAAATAAGTAACTAAAGAGTAAACTCAACTTTTAAAAAAATTGTCCAGTATTACTGTTTCTTGACTACAAAAGACTTGTAGAGCAAGGAAAGTAGTTCATCAATAAACATAAAGGACTCTGAAAAGAATGTTGAAATGTACAAATTAGAAACTCAAAAAGCATGCCCATCTTCTATGGAAGCACCTCAAAGGACTCAAAACCTTGCTCTGACAGATTTTTCAGGACCACCTGCTTGCTTTGGCCCCTAAATTCTGTACCATTTAGTTCCTCAGAAATACTTTCCACCTTTTCTGTTTTCTCCCAAGTGTTAAGTTCCTGATTTTCCCAGGCAAGTCAAACAGTCAACTGGGAAGAAAGTATAATTTCAGTTGACTTGTTGATCTTGAGCCCCAGCAATGGAGGAGGATCATTCCCAACTGTCTTGGGATAATGAAAACAAACATATGGATTAAATTTAAACAGCAACAGAAAAGAGATAATGGCTAAGACTTTTCTGGATTAAAGATCTTTGCAATTCAGGTTGTAACTGTGATTAAGCTGATGAGAATGGGGAATTCCCTTCTTCTTTGGAATAATTCCAAAAATCTTTTGAATAAGTGTATGCTGTAGAAACTGAAACCCAAGAAGATGAAGTGGTTAACTATATAGGGATTTCACAATAAATTCTATCAGAAAAGCATCAGAAAGTGGCAGAGAAAAACAATGTGTATATAGACAATTACGAATGAATATGGGTGTGTTTTGTGTGTGTGTGTGTGTGTGTATGAATAGAATGAAAAACTAATTGAGTATATAACTATATTCAAATTTCTTGTATGTCACTTTATCTTTTTTTTTAATTTTTTTTATTCCTAGACTTAAGCTATTTCACACTGAGAGAAGCAGCAGCACTGGATCACATCGGAAGCCAGATGCCATTGAGTACAATACCCTGGTTAGTACAGGGAGATCCAGACATTTGATCAACTATAGCTTCAGAATGCCAGCCAACCACAAATTCCATAACAGGAATATAAATGCATCCATTCACTCCCTCTCATTAACTTAACAGTCAGGCTTTGAACAATGCAATTGATTAACATATCCATTGTTCTCCTATGCTTTTGCCTCAAAATTTTTACTTCCTTAGGGATCAAAGATATCTGAATACTTAGCAAATAAATGCTCCTACAAAATAATTTCTGTAAAATATAGTGGCACCAAAAAGTGCCAGAATGAAACTTTTACTATTTCAAGGAAGTGACAAAAATGCTAAGAAAACAAATCTATGAACCAGTTTTATTTTATTTGCATTTAACATGAGTATACACATTCATGTGTCTAACAAGATCTGCACTGTTACATTAAAAATACAGTACAATAACATTCAACATGAGGTACTTCATATTTATATATTTTTCCTTCATAAATAATGTTGTAAGCTGCTAAAGTCAAGCACTGATGCATAAGTTGCTACAGTGTCTTGAGTTAGCTGAGCTTATTAAACACCTTAAAAAAAACAAAAACAAAAAAGACAGTTCAGTGCAATAATTATGTAGAAATTAGACCATTTACTTAAATACTATTTTAAGATATGCTTAAAGAATGTTACATTAGAACTGCTAGCCTAGTTACCCTTTATCCCCAGTATGAACAATGACAAAGACTGCCAGATACATTGGGAAAAGCATCTACAGCGTACTCTGTTTAATAAAGTTGTGTTTATACACTAGAGTTGCCTGCCTTGTCAGAACAATGGTTTCTAATTTTAAAAGCTACAAAATTCAAAATTACCAAAGAAAACAAAGCAAGCACATTAGCTTTCATTCCATTTTGTTGAAAATGCAGAAAGGAGACTTGGTCTAAAATATATACTTTTTTATTCTAAATACAATTTTCAAATTTTATCCACAGGCCAATCAGATGGTGAAAGTGTTTTTTTTTTTAATTTATTTATTTATTTTTTTATTTTTCTTCTCTTAATTGACAGAAAATTAAGTTCTTCTATACCCAGCGTACAGGATCTCATGTGGCTTTCGGCAGCCTAGCTGTGCAGAGGGCAACTCACGTAACAGGAGTGCTGACAGAGCAGTGAAGGAATGACCCCACTCTCAGGCGGTCCATCACACTCACCCTCTCAACTATGAAATTAATGCTGAGTAACATTTCTTCTCCTCTGGCTTCACGTCAAGTGCCTTCTAACCAGTTTTACCATTTTTCATGATAGTTATGAGTTACTGAAATGTTTAACCATAATTTTAGAATAGAATCCTTTGCACAAGTATTTTTAAGTGAAAATTTATCTTTATTTCATTAATGTTTTGCCAAAACTACAACCTGTCATGTCCATAATAAGATAATTCTAGATAGCTGTTCTGGCAGTATTCATCTATAGTCACCAGTAACAACTTTCAGTCAGCTATGCTAACAGATGTAGGTAAATGGCAAAAGTGATTAAAACAGTTCCCATAATCCAGTGTTCTCCTCCATCAGGGACACTCGCCAAAGGCGACAGGCCCACATCTACAGAGAAAAAAGCAGCCCAGAAGCACAGTGAATAAGCAAGGGCAGTCACTCATTGGGCCTGGCTGGGGACAGCAGGGGGACCATTGTGTCCCACCTCTCACTAACCAGGCAGGGAGGAGGGAATTCCTGAGTTGGCAATCGCACTTGCATGCGCATGGGCACATGGGCTCACAGGCACACACACACCCCAGGACTAACTCCTGGCCCCAGACAAGCCAGTTTCAGGCTTGCAGAGCAGGAGAAGGAGGCGGCCAAGGGACCACACTCTAGGTGGCGGAGAAGCCATCTCAGGATCACACTGAGCAGAAAAGCTGCCCAAAAACACATGGATTCTTCAACTGGCAGTGATCACACTGGGCACTGCCAGGGTCACAGGCACCAAACCAACAAAAGCCATCACTGAAGGAGAATTTTTTAATGAGCTTTTCCTCCTTTGCTTATATTAGCCATGGACAAATAAGAGAGCCAGATGTGCTGCTGATGCAGTGAATTCAGGGACAACAAACTCTGTTACTCCAACCAATTTCTGAAAACCCTGCAGGCATATATTGGCACTTTAAGGTGGCCAGAGGCCAGATTCTAGCAGTCCAGAATGAGAACAGAACTATAATCAACAAATAAAATAGCATATGGTCAAAGATTAGATAAAGTATATTTCAAATAAAAAAAAAAAAAAAAACAAATAAAAGTATTTTATGACATTAACAATGTAGTGCTACAAAACCAGTTGTTACTCCATTCCTCTAAAGAAATGTTTGGTCCTCTTTTAAATGGGGGAAAAGGGATCAGGAATTCTATACAGTACGATTTATAAAAACAAGCAAATGATAGGGACCCAAAGCTATGTGGCAAGAAAAGAGTGCCTTTTTCAAACACATTATCAATTAAAGTATTTGTAGTATGGGATTTTTTAGGTTCTCTTTTAAAACCTTTACTGTAAATTAGCAGGCCTGCAATTTTTTTCTATTGACAATAAACTTTTATAATTTCATTACTTCCAAAAGAAGTGTTCATATTGTGTTACCTTGTCTTCTTAATATAAGTCTCCTTTGCCTATAAAACACCACTCAATTCCTTAGTTTCTTATTTTACACTGCCATTTTGAGTTAATGTGTAATAATCTTATTGGTTTAAGATTAAAAAAGCAAAGTGAGAAGCAACAACTTTAAAAGAAAAAAATGTAAGAGCCAAACATGACTACTTTCTACATTCTAAATTATTACTTATTATAAAGTAAAATTTCTCTCAAAATTGTACACTGAGGTTTATCTGGTTTTTTGGGGGGATGGGCTTTGTTTAAAAATAACTCTTGATTGTTATTATTTTAGACTATTTCCATTCATCAAATAAAATCCAAAAGGAAATTTGAGGTGATCCAAAATTTTCTTTAGAGACATGAAACTGGGAGGTCGGTGGGGCATCTGAGAGAGCATAATCTCTCCAGGTGTATAGACGCAACTCTGAAAACCACAAAGCCTTAGTAAGAACTTGGCTCTTTTAAGCATATAGTTAAAAGCGGAATGCTGCATTTTAGCCTGTACATAATTAAAAAGGGTAAAAGAAATTAGAAACTGCCTACCGCTTCATTCATAACAAATTACCTGCACTGATCACATATCTGCAGATGAGCTAAGCATCAAGCAAGGAGGGGCCAGATGTGCACCCGAGCTCACACTGCTTGGGGAAGTGAAGCTTTAAGCATAGAATATAAGTTCAGGGATCTGCCCTCCCTGTACCCCAGTGCCATTTGTGCTATCTGAGGAGCATTGAAACTGGACAGTCACTTTGCCACACTGAACTTCCGTCATGCCTTCTTGTCCAAAGTAGCTGAGTTCATTGCCATCCAGTATCACACTGGCTGTGTAGAAGGTGTCCGGCTCGATCTGCACAGGATACTCAAACCACACAGGGAAGGTATTGCTGGATCCATCTGAGAAGTACTTGCTCAAGTTCTGCCCCAGGACAACACCCTGCCGCTTGAGTTCAATCTTGGCACTGTATTCTGCAGAACCACAGCTGGAGCCATACAGCCCAAAGCCTGCAATAAACACTCTTTTATCAACAGCAAACTGGATGCTGTCACAGCGACCCCGATAGCGCCACTGGTTGCTCCTATAGGCACAAGACTGGAAACGGTGACAGCGCTGGGGGACAAGGCCCTTGCGGGCTTTACTCACAAACTGCAACTCTGGCTTTTTGGCCGCAGTGTACCAGAGGAAGATGTCATTGGTCTCATTGAGAGTTAATACTCCGGACTGGGCAGCACCATTTGCAAAGTCATCAAGGGCCATTGTGGGTATGCGGATCAAGTACAGTGCCTTTCCTAGGACCTTACGTTTATTTTCAATGCTCAAGGCTAGATCTTGTCGCTGGCATTCTACTTCAGCCCAGTTGAGAGCTGCCTCAAAAACCACGATTTCTTTGGCATTCAGAGTTTCCCTGCGGAGGATACTTTCTAGTGTCTGGAAGTCGATATCACAGAATCCCTCAGACTTGAGAGCTAACTCAGCCTGGGCATCGATTACCTCCCAGCAACGCTGGGTCAGATCAGGCTCCTCGAACAGACAGCTCTGGGAGAGGAGCACACAGGCATTCTTGGCGCTCAGGCTTGTCTCCAGGAAATTAACACAGGCTCTGGCAAGGTGAGGGACAATGTATTTTTTGGCAGCATACAGTGTAGCCAACACTGTGTCAGCAGCCAAGTCAATTTCATCACAATAGATATATCTGAAAGAAAACATACAATATATAAATGGAATTTTCACAAAATGAGCATGCTCAGCAAGTAAAGAAGCAACTATTTTCACATTTGTTCCAAGAACATCATCTTATGTGACACTTATTATAAACATGCTTAAAGAAATATCTGAATTATATTTATAAGTTATTACTATCTCAGCTCAGTAGTAAGTTTGTATCATGAAAGGCATTAACTTAGTATTACCATTCTGGCCTATGTTTCACATGCTATATATAGTGTCTTCTCAACAAAAATAGAAGATACTGTAACTATTCAAACTTGACTCAACATCAGAAAAAATAGCAAAATTGTATTACATATGTTATATTTAGATAAAAACAAAATGCCTTTACTACTATAATTTCAGCATTAACCCTATCTTGATGCTTTTGGATTTCTCCTAAAGATTAAAAAAAAAAAACTGATACTAAATATTTTTCAAATAGATCCAAGTTCACAAATAATCAAATATGGACTTCAATTCTACCCTCCAGGTTACTTAGAACACAGCAGGCTCTGTGCCAGTTTATTTGTTTAATTCAAAACTTCTAAATTCCCCCCACATATATTCTTTTCACCTTCAGAATTAAAGAATACATTTTTCCATATGTATTAATTAAAAGACAAAATGGGAAAACTTAAATGTAGAGTTTCTATGTCAATAAACCACACTTTGTGGTATTTTAGAGGATAGTGATAGTTTCTCAAAATGGAATGTGAAAGTAGAAATTATCTGCTTCTGGTAGATGGTTATGGTTAACATAAAAAAAATAGAAATAATAACATTTACCTTTAACTTTTTCTAGCTAAAGTGCTAGGTACTTTATCTGAAGTCTTCCTGTATTTATTTTATTTCATCTTAGTAAAAGACACGTAACTCAAAAAATCAGCAATACCTTCTGTGAAAAAGTAGAGAAATTCAAGCATGCAAAGAGAAAAATGTCCACGATCACAAATGAAACCTGCCCTTTTGCTCCTAGGAAGCCCTTCTCCTCTCTGATAGGCTAAGCCAGATGCCATTTGACAATACACTTGCAGCTCAGTTCTGCTTTGACCAAGAGCCAGGACTTTGGGAAGGATCCTGGAACATGGTGAGTAGGTTTGTAACTCTTACCCTATAATTGTCAAGGGCACAGTCATCCCCTTGACAATCTCTTCTCCTGGAATAGTGGCTTCGCACAATGTACAAGGAAGGAAATCTGGTCATCAGTATCACAACTATGGCATGGCAGCCAAAGGCATCTTACAGCATCTCTGACTCCTACCACTTTATGTGGCCTGTGTGTACAACTTTAAAAAGCTGTATTAATACATGGTCTAGGTGATACAACTATGAGAAAAGACACTTGACCAATGCTGAATCAAATGAGTTAGGTAAAATGTAGCTCTTGGCCATCTTGCTGCTTCCTAATTATGCACATGTCTAGAACAACTCAACAAAATACTTGGCTGTAGTGAAGCCCAAAATGCTGAAGTATTGCTGCATTCTGCTCAGCAAGAGATAATACTGTCAAAGACACTGAGTTGACTTCCTCTGATGGAGGGTGGGTGAGAGGACCCTTAGAGGTAAAACTGATTTCTGCACGTACTTCTCTAAAAGACCACAAAGATTAAAATTGGTGGATTAGTTTAGGTTTTGGTGCTTCACATGCTTACTTGCCTTTCATTTCCCTATATTCCACTGTGAAAGTCCTAGTCAACAGCAATTAGATTTCAGAATTTTAATATGAATAAAAAATACGTTTAAGCTCTAGAACTATAATTTTTCAGCAGGTAGTAATAAGACATAGCAACATTTTAACCATTAATGGGAACATTGTCCAACTTGTTGACCCACTAAATGATTTTTTGAACAATAATTTTATTTATTTCAGTGAAATGAAATCCCTAGAGCAGCAGATGACCTTGAACTCAGTCTTTAGTGTCCTAGAAATGAATGCAGATTAAGAGAAAGCATATAATAATATTTAGAATAACACTAAATTTTAATAACAGGGTAGACTATCACACATTGTCTAGCACTGGTACATAGTACAGAAGATGATTCATGTATCTGCTTGACATATACTGGAAGCTACAAAAGACCCACTAGATAAAAAGCTAATGTAAATTAATATTACATATACTTTTGTATTTCTAGATTACCAACTGAAGTTTTTCTGTATACATCTACATGAAATCATAGAAAACGATTTATAACTTCCAAAAATTTCTCCTCTAATATCAAATGCAAATGCTTCTTATTCTGGAGAAAGTGTCCAATTTTATAGAAGAGTAAGTGTACCGTATTTGTGCAAAAAGATCGGACTAAGTCAACAGACAGCGAATTCTACATTTGCTGTTAGGAGATAACAACTCAGAAAACTTAGAAGTCTTCCAAATTGTAGTGTTTAAATAAGGTATATAATTTCTGGAATTGTGAAATAAAAATGTATTTCTTTGAAGACTTCTTCACACATACTGATTTCAGATAGAACATGTGCCATTAAACAATGCCTACACCTGAAAGTTATTTTTCTTTAATTACAAGCCATTAAGAACCAAATTGCTATACATGCCACTTGCCCCCACATCCTGTGCCAAGGTGTGGATAAATGCTTGGATCATTCCACATGCTTTCCAATTAAAGATGAACAGCAGTTTTCTCCAAAAACATGTACAGGATAAGCAGCACCCTCTTTCTTCATCAGAGTCTCCTTTTTTTGTTATGCAGAACTTACATTTAACTTTGAAGCCAGCAGGGTACAAATATAGCATAAACAAACTCTTTCCAAACATAGAAATAATGCTTACTTCAGCATGGCGAGAAAAGCAGCAGGTTCGACATCTGGTATACGGATTTCATCTTTGTCCTCGGCAAGTTCTCCGTAAAACATCGCATGGAACACAGAGCTCCCAACAGCTAAGACATACTGTGGAGAAAGGGAAATCTTATTTCATGCACTAAATTGAAAGTGTTTTCAGCAAATCAATCCAGAAAAACAACTCTAAGCAATCAGGTTTAGTGGGCATAGAGTACCTAAACCTGTTCCTTTGAAAAAACCAAGATACAGGGTATTTGGCAGGGAAATATAAGATGTTCATACAAAATAGCCTCTATGCTAATTATTTCAAAGCTTTCAGAGATTAACGCAGGGGTCCCCTCATTGCAACATAAATACAATAAAAGCTTATCTCACTATTTCTAGGAAAGGGGTCAATACATGACTTTCCTAACCTGTCACAACAACTTCCCAGGGCTGGAGAGTTAAGAGGGTATGTTTCTGTGAGAGATATAAAGCAGTATAGTAGGAAACAATGAAAAAATTAAGCGTGGTCAAAGCCCTTTGGATAGGGTATGCTTTCTCTGTAACTGGGGGAAACATGCACTGCCTGCCATCGGCAAGCTGCCCACACCAAGTTCCAGGCTGACTGAGAGGGTCCCTTTTTGTAAATCTCAGGACAAAACCGGTAATGCAGCTGTTGCTTACTTTGTGTCCTGGCAACCGCTGAGTCCCACCTGGTGGCCCAACCACAAAATGTACATCTGCCATCAAATCATTATTGAACATCACCGCATTTCTATAAACAGAGGCAATTCATTAATTCATAGCAGCCAGCATTCTTAATCCCTTTCTCCAACATAAAAAGACTCACAAGCTAAGCAACAGTTTAGTAACTTCATAGCAAAATTTAAAAAATAAAGATTGAAACTAAACAACTGTGTTTGTAGTTATTGCAAACACACAGGAAGTAGCAAAAGTTTTTTTTTTTTTTTTAAGTTATACAAACTTTTCACAAGGCTAAGGACAAATTAAAGGTTTCTATTTTTCATGGCCTATAGAATATAACCCTGTCACTTAAATATTACAGCTTGCAAAAACATTTTTGTCTAAGAGGAAAACAGCTGTACTGTTTTGGAAAAGATACAAGGCAGTTTTCCATTACCAATAAAGCTTCTGGGAAAAGAGGAAACACAGATTTGTGTTAAAATACATTACAGGTTGTTCAAAAGCACAAACTTCAACACAGGAAAACTTTTAAAGTACATGTGCTGGCTCAGTACTTACCTTTCTCTAATGGTGGGATACAGACCCTGCCAGTTGGGGGCCGGGATCAGGTTGTTGTTGCTGAGATTCTGCTGGTGGTACTGCTGGACAGTGGTGCTGCTGGAGTTAGCTGGTTTTTTCCGGGGAAATATATCAGCAGCCATCTTCTTCTTCTTTTTAGTCTTCAAGGTAATTATTTCATAACAAACTGGGGGCAACTTGCTGCTGCTACTGCTAGTGCCGCTGCTGTTATTTGCTTTCTTTGAGCTTTTCTTGGACCTGTTCTTTACCGTCTCTGGAAGCATCAAGAAGAAGGTGAGACATTTCATGTTCTTTTCCTTGTCATCTACCATGAGTACAGTATGTTTCTCTTTACAGCTAGATATCCCAAACTGGTTCAAACATCAAGGAAAACAGGCTGGCCGGAGCCAAGATGTTAACAGAAACCAACAAGCTGATATTTTGCTTCTTTTCTCAGCCAGGCAAGGTGACCTTTTCACTATGTTGAATAGAAACTGGCTTTAAGTTTTATCCAGTACTGGGTCTGTTAAATACATCCCCATCATGATTCCTGTTTCTCTTACTTGCTCATAAAAACAACCGTTTCCTAGATCACCTGAAAACGCTACACTGAGCGAAGACGACAGGCACAAAGCTGTAGCACTTGTTTTCTGAATTAGGTTAGCAAGATGTGCTGGAGCCGAGTGAGTCTGTTCAGCCAGCTGAAGTTGTGTGGTGAATGGATCGGAGGAGAGTAGGTATTACAGCCCTGCAGATGGAGTCAGACAGCCAGTGCTTGGAGCCAATAGCTGAAGTCACCAATCATGATTGGACCAAGCAAAACAGTGACACCTATTGTAACGTGCATAGTTCTGATATTAAAGGAACAGCAGTTGTATTCTCTGTCTACTGTATATTTAAATAAGATAAACAATGTATGAAATATATTTGAACATAGGAAGAAAGGAGTTTATGCCCACAAATTTCTCTTTAGTTAGAATATACATTTTTATTTTTTCAGCTAAACAAGCAGATCAAATTAACAAAGCATAGGACAGACAGCTATTTCTAGATTTCTGGTAAAAATATTTTTTACAGCAGCATTTAGTTTCAAATATTTTAGACAAAATCCTCTATAGTCTGTAAGTTTCAAAGGATTAACAATAGCAAAACCATATTAAACATATTTATTACATCTGAAAGAGGAAGGAGGTTGTTTTTTCCTTTTCATTTTTCAGTGTCTTTAAATGCAAGTTATATTCCAGTATAAAAGAAGAGAACTAAGGCCATGTGTTCATTTTACCTTCCAGCGTTCTCTAGCTCCTGTCTTTAACAGGACTCCCAGGTCACAAAACATTATTAATTAAGATAAGATTATACCAGTAGGCTGAGCTGCACTGAAGCCTAAGACAAATTCTAGATGTAAAAATAACATTCAAATGAGATAAATCTGGTAATCAGTGTTTAAAGGCTGTAATTCACTAAAAATATGTCAGATGGTGCTCTGTTCTGGATCTCAAAATTCCAACTTAACTGTTATTTCCACATTTAATCTTGTTATAATTTTAAAGAATATAATCTACAATTTCTAACACAGAGCCAATAGTAAGGCTATTTAAGATGATAAATGTCTGATGCTACCTAGTTAAAATGCAAACAGGTTCTCTCTGCTTTGGATCAGAATATAAACTACTGTATGGTTTTCAAAAATATGAATCCTCCAACAATTTCTAGTAAAAAACAAAACCAGAAACACCTGCTGTAGAGTCTTCATATGCACATTTATTTGTAAAGAGGGACTAATGGAGATATTTAATCTCACCCCTATCTATTTGGATTATTCTCATTTGTGGGAAGCACATCAGCCACTTGCTGCCCCCCACAATCTAATGTACCCTTCTCAACCACAGCCCTGATTGTTGCATTTTATGTAAGTAATGACTAACAAAATGAGAACTTAGCATATGAGAACTATTAGTGTTAATATTATAATTAGTAATCTAATAAAGATAATTCCAACAATTTTTAAACTCCCAGAATACTAAATCACTAAATTAAAACAAACAATATCCTCCTTTCTGTCATTACTATTATTCTAAAAACTATTTCAAAGACACTGCAGAACACAACTGTGTAAAGAGAGCCACAATCTTTAGCATAAGGTTACCCATCCCGATTTTATATGGACCCTGAGTGCTACTAATTTATTGCAATTATTGTATTATCAATCACAGGGCTAATATATCATACATCTATACATACAAATGACCTTCAAATACATTTTAATGAACAAAGACAACGGGATCTGGAAAGGAGTTTAAAAAAGCACCTGGAAAAAGGCATGAAGAAACAAGTAGGCTCCAATTTAGGTATCTACTCAGAATATGGTTAAACACCAAAGGATTTCAATTCTCCATGGCTACTGAACTTGGATCATATCCCTCCTCAGCAAGGCCCCACCCTGGGAAGGCCCTTCTGACAGAAATTCATCTCACAAATCTAGTATCTGGCTTTTCAGGTCAGAAGTAATCAGGATGGAAAGAGACACCAGCCACTTTGAGGAGACATCATTAACTAGCAGATGAATGAGACAAAACAGAAAAACATACAACAGCACCATGGAAGGCTTTGTAGTTCTTATTCATTTTGCATATAGCTCAATATTTACCACAAAGAGAGCCTCTAAAAAAAATATGGCTTTTGCAACACTAAGTTGAAGAAAAAAAAGAGTATATGCAAACACTTTTAAGAAAGAAAATTCTATAACATTTAGAAAATGATCTTTCTGAAATTAAATATTCTAGTTATGTGGAAAATTAAATTTTGTAGAAAGGCTTGAAAATCCCAGTTAAATGAAGTAGTGCTAAGTCTGAATCACCTAGAAAAGTGCTGCAAAGAGGGGTATCATCAATTTTCACTCAGGTGAATGTTGGGGCAGATGAGAACAGCTGTTTAAAATCAAGACAACGGGGGCTGGGGTTGTGGCTAGCATGCGTGAGGCACTGGGTTTGATCCTCAGCACCACATAAAAATAAAATAAAGGTATTGTGTCCACCTATAACTAAAAAATAAATATTTAAAAGAAATAAAATCAAGACAACAGAAAAATGATCAGACAGCTATCTTTTCTTGCCACAGTAATAAGTCGGGTAATACAAGTTCTTGCTACTAAAAGTGTAGTCCTAAGATCCAAAGTAGCATCTCTCAGGAGTGTTTACTGAAACCCACAATCTCAGCCAGATTCTGCATCACAATCTGCATTTTAACAAGACCCTTCACATTTATAAATGGTATGGAATTCAAGTTTGAGGAAAAAACTCACAGAGAAACTAAGGACATTATAGTGCCTTCCCAAAGATCCCACACCAACATTTCAGCTCTCAAGTGAATGAACAAAACAACTCAAACCATTTTAATTTGATTTTGAAATAAAAATTAGCCCTCATATCTTGTTCTGAAAGTCCTTCTAGTTAAATGTCAACATTTTAGGAATAGGGGTGCAGACAGCCAACTGAGAGGGCTTAGGATATCTGCTAATCCTATGGAAAAGAAGTTTAAGATCAGATTATTTTAAAGGATAATGACAGAAATTATTTTAGTGGGAAAAACAAAGGATTCAAAAGTGCCAAGTGTGAAGCAGATGAACTATCTTTTTAAAATAATCTACTTCACAATTCTGTTTCAAAAAATTAGCAATGCAGCAGGGTAAAATTAGTAACAAAGTAATATGGTTTAATCCTAGCTGGACCACTTGAAGTAACACAGGGACAGCAGGGATTTAAACAAATCATTCAGCCTTTAAGGGCCTCAGTTTCTAGTTATAAAGTGAAGAGGTTCATTTACAATAAAAGAGTGTTTCTCATCTAATAGATGAGTTTCTCCAACTTTATACTCAATCCATAGTAAGAAGGACATTTTATATTCTGACAGTATAAACACACATAGATGCATACAAATCAAAAGAATGAACAAAACAAAATTTACTCTGATATTTTCTACTTTATTCTTTTGTTTTGTTTTGTTTTGTTTTAATCTTGACCCATTCAATTGTTCTCATGATCACAGTTTAATAAACATTGATCTAGAGTATTTTGAGGGGCATCACCAAAGAGTTTACCAACCAGAGTTTTTTTCTATCAAGAATTTGGACCAAGAATACCAGATGGAAAAGTAAGGCTCCACCCACAATGGGGTATCCATGAAACCTTTCAACCTGCAGGTAAAATTGGCAATGTGCATTTATTTTTCTGGAAAGAGTAATGATAGCTTTCATCTATCCTTTTGAGTAATCCATGACACCTAAAACAATAAAATCTCGTGAAAACTCTAGTATTGATTTAAATATACAATTTTATGATTTATTCTCCCTTGATTAAATATAAACAGTTGAAAATCCCATCTATTCAGTCTATAACCCAAACCTATCACATACTGGGTTGAAGGACAGTAAAGGATAACAGCCTAAGACCTACTGTCACATTTTAACTCTAACATGTCTTTCCAACTAGCATTCCATCACTTGTTCTTACACTTACACTTCCTGGATTTTATAGCTGCTCTGAGACACAGTAAATATCTGATCAAGAAACCCACCAATCTTTAATGAAAGCATTCCCAAAACATACCATGCTGATTATTATTGCATGTTGTGCATACAACAGGAAAGATTAGGAACCAAGCTCAAAACTTGTAAGTTAATAATAGTGGGGTTTCAGTTCAGCTTACAAGCACCACAAAGTTATATCACCATGATCGATTTCATTCAATTCTCAATAATGACAAAATTACCAATAGAATTTAAGGTCCAAAAGAAGGTTTACAAGCTGTCCTACCTTTAGTACAATTTTACATATACAGATTGGGAACATGAATGAGATTTGGAATTGAAAGGGACTCTAGAAATCATGTAACACAGCTGTTGGCTCACAGATAATGCAAGGGGATATCAGAAGTTTGTAAAGATTGGTGAAAAGTCCACAATTAAGTAGTGGGGCAACACCTGAACTAGAAGGCAGAACTGCAGGCCACGTTCTGTTTATTCCACTCTGATTTTCACTCACAGTAATCAGTCCATATCCTTACACAATGTTCTGTTTGTATTTCTAATCTACTGTATAAGAAAAATACATGTGCAGAGTTCAAAGATGAAAATCATGAACATGTACCATTCACAGTCCTACAGGAGCACACTATAGGAAAGAATGCTGAGACACTTTCTGGAAAGAAACAGGAAAGAATGTAACAGGAAGGAAGAGCCAGGAGGAAGCCTAGTGAAAAACAGAAGAGGCTCTCCACATAAAATGAAAGTTAGAAAACCAATCATTCACAGTTAACATCAAGTTCTACATCCACAACTCACAATACTGGCAACTCTTGTTTAACTTGCTCTAACTCTGGACTCTGTCTGGACTTGTACATGGTTTACTATAAGACACCTAAAAAGTAACAGCAGTGAGGTTAGCTGAGGTTTAAACAGGGCAAAGCAGAATAAAAAAAAATCACTTTAAAAAACGATTCATTGCACATAACAAAGTAGTTTTATCTGATAAATCAAAATGAAATAGTATTTTGTTTTCCTTATTTTTCCTTTCAATACTAAGCAAAAGTTAGTTATACTTGTTGATTTGGGAGGTAAAAACATAAGTGACAAAATATTGGCAGTTCATAAAGATAGTAGCAGCTGCTGGAAAAC